CAGCTTTCATATAAAAAAAGAATCATCGAAATCGGTTCACCCAGTACAAAGTTATGAGGTAACACACATAAAAAAACATACCGTCGAATTGAGTACCGTCTCCTTTTTGGAAGTCGGCATAAAAACGAGGCATTCCACCTTATTTCTCAGGGGTGACAACACATCTGCATTTTAAGTCTTAATCGAGTGTAGATGTGTGTACCCGTTTGTCTGTATTTTTTAAAAAATAACCTAGAATGGGACTGCCTTACACTTCGCTTACCTGTACTCGAGAATCTTTCGGTTTGTAACACATCGGTTGTCGGTTCTTCGAGATATATGGCCGACCAATTGCCACTTCAATTTACTGATCCGTATATATGCATATTATTTTACTGATATAAAATATACGGACTAGCGACTGGGGACATCAACGGTGCCATATCATATTTAGTAACTGGGTCACTGAGCTTCATTCAGCATTAGAAAAAACATATAATTTTTTCAGGGATCACACATATCTAGATGAGTTTGGGAAGTAAGACATTCTTTATATAAAAATTTTCATCCAAATCATCAGAACTGTTTACGAGAAATCAATTAAATATATTACAAGAATTGCTCACGTATAGGATATTTGTCTGGTATTGCAATAACCATTCCTGCGCATCGTGCTTGTTACTGCAAAAAAAAATCAATCACAGACACAGAAGAATACACATACCTTTACGCGCAGCTGACGCAAAATTTAATTATAATAATAAGTATTAATGACAACAGCAAAAAATATTTATTATATCTTAATACTTTAAACTCAGATCAATAAAGAAAAATAGTCGGAGCGATGCGTAAATTTAAAATGATGCCGAAACAATCCTCAATTTCAGACATGCGTTTACGCACTCACTCACTGCCTCTTTCTTTCTAGGTATATCCCCGCAAACGTCCATTGTTGGACGCACAGGTATGCAGCTAAAACCATTTTGATAGTTACAAATGATTTTAGATGCATTTGTGTTCGTGTTATTACTAAAATTTGAGCATGGTTGTGTAACCACAGACACAAGGCAACAGACAGATTTTTCAGACCGTTACCGAAAAAGATCTAACTTACTCTGGTCGAGCCTAAAGAGGTTTTACTTCAGAAAAGTTTTTAAGCATTAATTACAAAGCAATTCAAATATAGCATAAATGATATAGCTAAATAATATATTTTATTTCTACGTACTAGGTAGACGCTTAGAAATTCAATGCTAAATCTAAAAGTTTACGTCACTTAAGTATTATGTCAATATGATCACAGTAAACTTTTAAGATTACATAACATCCTTGAGAACTCAACAAAAACAGAATAATATGTTATCTATAGATATGCAATCTTCTGTTGAGAGAGCAAACACACGAGTCTTCGCCTAAGTGCGCACCGCGATAGATTTTACATTATTCCAGAGTAGGGGATGTCATTTACAATAAAGACATTCCTGTTGGTGTTCAAAATTATACTAAGTTATTATATAGTATCTGTTCCCCGCGTTTTCGTCCGCGTTGGTATTACGATTGGATTTCACGGGTTTTAATTTTTTTGCCCGGAGGCCTAATTCATTTTCTAAAATAAAAGTAGCCTAAGTTACTCCTCATAATTTCAGCTATCTACCAGTGAAAGTCCCGTTAAAATCAATTCAGCCATTCCTGAGACTAGGCAGAACAAACAGACAGACAGACGAAAATATAAAAATAATGTTTATTTGCTATAAATACCATATATACTTTCATATGCATTTAGTAAAAAGCTGTTATTTTGACATTACAGACAGACACGTCGACTTTATTTATTTGTATAGAAGATTAATTACAGCACAAACGAATTATAAAGATTTGGCTCTTTTATTTTCTATTAAATTTTATGAATTTTAATATAGTAGAGCCATGCTGCAGCTATATTATGGTTGAAGCACTTATTGGGTCGGCTCGACCGGGTCCACACTCTCACAGAATAGCAGGTTATGTTGTGAGTTGAATGATTAGTGTAGAGGACCATCATGTGGACTATGTACTTGTTTGTCGTCTTTATTAATTCATTACAAAAGAAGTTTCTATTAGAGACGCATCAAATTTCATTATTAAGCTTATTATGTCACCAATATAAATGAAATAGGGATAGAGATAGAAATTATAGAAGTTAGATATAAAAGATAAAAATAATATAGTTCAATAGCACCAATGCAATTTACAATGTGTGATGTAGCGAGACGTTTATGCTTTATATGCTATTACTTTCTACCAGGAATGGAACTTACATTCCCGGTCTACCGAACGCAGTAGAGGTCTATTTTAAGGAACATTTTTTTTATAGGATAAGGGTGACAAATGAGCACACAGTCCACCTGATGGTAAGTGGTTGCTGTGGCCCATAGACATCTACATCTATCTTCGATTACGAATGAAAATGCAGATGTGTTGTCATCCGTGAGGACTAAGATGGAATGCCTCGTTTCCAGTAAAAAGAGTCTCCGATTCTCTACACTCACCATACGAAACACAGCAGCATTAAGCTGCTATTTTACGCTGGAATTCTGTGAAATCGTGGTCCTTCCCCGGTCGAGCCGACCCATTCGTGCTACAACCATAATATAGCTGCAGCATGGCTCTACCACGTAGAATAGTTGGAACATATCAACTTACCACTTATTAGCTGTATAGTGGCGGCGTAATAAAATTTACTACCTCTTATCATCCCGTGGATGTTGTAAAAGGCGACCGAGGGAAACTAAATTAGATGGGCAATAGCATCTCCCTTATAACAACCGAAAACAATAAAAAACTGCGGTTACCAACTCGACTGCCAAGTGTGGCAATTATTGAAAAATGAGGCAATCTATGGGGTAGACTTTATGATCAGCAGTGTACTTTTGATGATGTATGACTGTTGATGTAATCATCCTAAGTACAGTTCAATAGAAAATAACAGCCTAAAAGCATCCCACTACATTTAAAGACAGAACACACTGCAAACATTCTACCGGCCGAGAGTGTAGTCCTGTTACGCTGCTAGTGCGCACACTGAGCCAATCAAACAGTCGGGTTAGTGGTGAGTGCGCACTAGTATCAGTTGGCCAATCGCGCGTATTTCCCGCGCCAAAATTTTGAACGAAGTGACGTTATCGACCGAGTTGGGCCACTAAACAATCTACGTCGAAGAGCGCTGTACTGGTTTAGCAGTTGGCCGATAGTTGACCAAGAGTTTAGTTTGAAGGGAATCGTGTAGCCCATTAAACTGATATATCAGCCGATATCTGATCATTATAATAATGCGCTCTTGCATACATCTTAATACTGATTAAGAAACCGACTAAACTCTCGTCCGATAGAAAGTCTGCAGTGTGCAGTGTCTCTTAAAAGTATCTTACTATACTCATTCTCTGTTCTACCCAAGGTTAGCTGGTAGAGAATGCCATATAGCATTAAGCTCGCCTTTTGTACAAATATTTGGTGCAATAAAGAATAAATAAATAAATTATTTATTTATTTATTTTTGTTATCGTTGAGTTATAATATACTACGTACGTACGTTGTACACTATAACTCAATGAATAATATAGAGTTTTATTCAGATCGAACTAGTACTCTATTACACATAAAAGATTAAAACTTAGTCTAGTCTAGTATTTGGTTCTATTCTTTTGTCAGTCGACAAAGGCCTCCTCCTGTAACTTGTCTGATATCGTTATCTTACCTTTCCTGTGGTCTACCTATTTTTATTTTTCCTTCTCTAGACCATTTTACTCCATTTGTCTTGTTCTCTCATCACGTGCCCTGCCTATCGCCATTTGAGTCTTCTGATTTTACATGTTATGTATATCACCTTTGTCTTGTTTTTGATGACACGGTTATTCAATCTGTATGACTTCTTCACATTTAACATACTCTTTTCCAACGCGTGCTGACAGGTTGCGAGTTTATTAGTCATGTTATGTGTTAAGGCCCATGTTTGGCTGCCATACATAACGGCTGGTAGTATGCATGTATTAAATAATTGACTTTTTATATTTATATGAAGTGCGATATGCGACAATATTAATAATGAAGTTTATTTTATTTGCCCTAATAAGAAATATTATGGAATTTTTGTTAATGGACAAATGACTAATACATACACAGGTTGATACTTCATTACATAATTATTTCGAATTAATAAGAATGAAGTCCCAATAATTTCCATAAGCGTGTGGTACTTCTACTGCACGAGATATTTCCGACCCCGTCGTTTACGTAACTCGCCTTGCTCGGATCTCGCCTAAATGAACGCTGAATAATTCTAGCCGAGATTTCACGTACATTTTCGCCTGTTTAATCGATATGCCGATAAATGGAGGAATGTCTGTATTTGCATGCGCCCTCTCGTTTAAAGATGAAACTTTCTGATTAAAATTGGCGTCGCACATGAACGTACGAGAGATTAAGTCTTCTTTTTCGATCAAATATCATATTGACTGACAACTTCGAAATATTTGTTACACGCGATAGAGCCATGCTGCAGCTATATTAGTAGTATAGTTGTAGCACTAATGGGTCGGCTCGACCGGGGAAGGACCACGCCCTCACAGAATACCAGCGTAAAATAGCAGCTTAATGCTGTTATGTTTCGTATGGTGAGCGTAGAGAACCGGAGACCCTTTTTGCTGGAAACGAGGCATTTCATGTTAGGCCTCACGGGTGACAACGCATCTGCATTTTGATTATTCATTGATCATTGAAGATAGATGTAAATGTCTATGAGTTACAGCAACCACATACCATCAGATGGACTGTGTGCTCATTAGTCGCCCTATCTTATAAAAAAAACAATAAAAATGAAAAATAAAACTATTAAAATTATAAATATTCTTATTAATTATAAATAATAAATTCTTAAACACTTAAATTTTTAAAATTCGGTATTGTACGTTCTGTGACCCTTCGTGATCTTTGACATCTTTACATCAACTCCTTTTTTTTAATTTTCATAATTTTATAATTTTCAGGATTCGCCTTGAGAACTACGAGCAATGGTGCGCGGTAGACGCTGTAACCCAGGGTTGTGCCGGCTCCCCGGCAGCTTGCCGCGCTGCGGTGGTAGCTGTTCTAGGAACTCAGCTGCGTGCTGCTTGCGCATGTCGTGGGACTGATTTCGCCCAACTCTATGACTGTCTTGGCTGGCAGAGACTGCTTTGGCTGAACCCTTGCGTCGGTGAGTTAGAGGTTCACCAGTGTTAATTCTTAGTAGTCTTTTGTTTGCCGGAAATAAATTTATGTGTAGTAAGTTACTTTATCCATATCTATGAAGGGAGAAATAACTGGATTTTTATCAAAATTCATCGCAAGGAATCCGAAATCTATATACAAATAAATAAAATTGAAGTGCCTGTTTGTAATGTCAAAATAACAACATATGAAAGTATATTATACGGTACTTATAACATTAACACAATTTTTTACATGTTTGTCTGTTTGTCCGTTTGTTCCGGCTAATTTCCAATACAGCTGGACCGATTTTAACGGGACTTTCACTGGTAGATAGCTCATGTTATAAGGAGTAACTTAGGCTACTTAAATTTTAGAAAAATTATGAGGGTTCCGTGCAACAAAATTCAAACCCTAAATTACACACGGGCGAAGTCGCGGGGAACAGCTAGTACAATATAGGTATATAAAACTCCTATTCTCCTAGAAGAAATTCTCAGTAACAACCCGGAATCAGGAAAGGTGGCGATTTTTCACACCTAAGCCTCGAAAAGCACAGAAAATCCCTTGGTCCTGCGCCTAATCTCTCCCGGATTGCCGTCCCATCGGTCTATGAGAGCATGGAATAGAGAATGCACCTCTATTTACGCATACCCTCGTGCACTATTATTCTATCCTCGCAGATGGCTAGTCTTCGTTGAGGCAAGCCGCCGCGCCGTGTCCGGAATTCTGTCTGGTGGAGATTCTTATTCATCGTAACTCCTATAACTTTTTATTAATATGACTAACCTGTCTCTATGATATAGTTTTGGCAATTCTAAATGAATATACCACTATTTTACGTCACAGAACCCCTAATTAACAGTACCGTGTGCCAAGGATAAGTTATTATATCCATAATTCACCGTAAAAAGTTTACCTTGTTAAATACTAACTTACCATAAGACTAATTGGCTTAATTAATAAAATTCCGATAATTATATAACTTCTAAGATAAAATAGATGTTAATGATTAGTCTTGACTTCTAAATATAAAAAGCTATACAAGTTGCAACAACAACGTTAATTAGGAAAATATGATAGAATTACGATGTTCTTTATATAACTATAGACATATCAAATTGATAATGTTTTTTTTATAGAACAAGGGTGACAAACGAGAACACAGTCCACCTGATGGTAAGTGGTTGCTGTGGCCCATAGACATCTACATCTAACTCGTATCATCGTTTGCGAATTAAAATGCAGATGCGTTGTCAGCCGTGAACACTAAGATGGAATGCCTCATTTTCAGTAAAAAGGATCCATACGAAACACAGCAGCATTAAGCTGCTATTTTACGCTGGTATTCTGTGAGAGCATGGTCCTTCCCCGGTCGAGCCGACCCATTCGTGCTACAACTATACTACTAATATAGCTGCAGCATGGCTCTACCACGTATAAATGAATGCGTTAAACACGCTTCGCTACTTTTTTACAGTGGAATCACAGCACGACTACCACGTGAAGACGTACGGGTCCCTCCTCACAACCACGCCTTTCGACAACGGAGTCCGTTACATCACCGTCCCACCGGAACCAGCAATTCATCACCGCACAACCACTCATCACCATCGGCATACCACTCAACATGGCGCTTCGCAAGTCGAACAGGTAGGTATACATTATTAATGAAATATGAAAATTGAATGCTCCAGAGAATGATAATTGATAATTAAGCTGACTCCCTTCAATCTTTAGACCGAAACACAACAGCGGAGGTATTCTTGTTTTGTAACAGGTATAGGAAAGTGCTCTCCAGACGGACAACTCGGCATCAATTAGACCTGTTTTATAGAAATATGGTTAACAGACGAGCACTCAGTCCACTTGATGGTTGATGGATGGTAAATTCATGCTGTGGCAAATTGGCACTTACATCCATCCTCTATTAAGAATCGAAATATAGATGCGTTGTCACCCCTGAGGTCTAAAATGGAATGCCTAAACGAATCACCATACGAAATATAGCAGTAATATACTGCTATCTTACGCTGGTATTATGTGAGTACATAGACCTTCCCCGGTCGAGCCGAAGCATTCGTGCTGCAGCTAAATTTGCTATTGGCTCTACTATAAGTAAAACCTACTGTATCTCGTCAGCTTCTCAGTATTTAATATTATATATCAGTAAGGTCACCTTACGAGTAGTTTTTTAAATAAACGTTTAGGTAACAGATAAATTCATCATCATCATCATCATCATTACAGCCTTTCATAAGTCCACTGCTGAACCCCAAGGAATGCCACAAAACACGGTCCTGAGTCACCTGCATCCATCGACTTCCTGCATGTCTTACCAGGTCGTCACTCCATCTCGTGGGGGGTCGCCCTATACTTCACCTACAGGTACGAGGCTGCCACTCGAGAACCTTTCTTCCCCATCGGTTGTCGGTTCTTCGAGCTATATGACCGACCCACTGCCACTTCAGCTTACTAATCTGTTGTGCTATGTCAGTTACTCTGTTTCTACTGCGGATATCCTCATTTCTAAGTTTATCACGCAGAGAAACCACGAGCATAACAGATAAATTGGCATTACACATTTTTATTTAAATATTTAAGCTTCTTTTTGCACAAATGGCAATTGCACAAAAGGTAGACTCAATATCACAAAGTATTCTCTGCCATTATAACTCCATTGTCCATATTATGTTAACTGACCACTTTAGGTAACACCAATTAAAACTTATTGTTGTTAATAAAATATACAGCCTACCTAGGTGGTACCTACCCAAGCGGCCACTTCAAATTAAATTTTACAAAGTAAAACACTTTAAAAATTAAAACTGAGCCGAGTACGAGAACGAGTTCATAGAACTAAAAAGAACTACAATAATTTCCATAAACATAATAGCTACTGAAAGCGGTGCTATAGTGTATAATAAAGTGTATATAAGAATTAAAGCCCCACTTTAAATGCTATTAAAATTTAATTAAACAAAAACTATTTAGCTATTCTATTTTTATTTCATTCTATTCTATGCTAATCCATTCTATTCCATTCTATTTCATTCTATTCTATTATTTTCTATTCTATCGTAATCTATCCTATTGTAACCTATCCTATCGCTACTATCCTATCCTATTCTATTATTTCTCATCCCAACCCATGCTATCCCAACCCATCCTACCCCATCTCATCCCATCCCATCCCTCCTATCCTAGGAGGAGGGGGTACGTCCCGATTTCATAGTTAGCCCTGGCTACCTCGTACAACCAGCTTACTGTATTTTGAAGTCTTGCAGTGGTATGCGTGGGTTTGGACTTAATTTTATTTATTACTAACTGTTTCCCGCGAGTTCGCCCGCGTGTAATTAGGATTTTAATTATATTGCTCAGAACTCTAATTATTTTTCTCAAATCTAAGTAGCCTAACGGTGGTAGAGCCACGCAGCAGTTTTTGCTGTTGCATGTATGGGCCGGCTCGAGCCGGGTTGGTACCACGACCTCACAGAATACCGGCGTGAAGTAGAAGCTCTGCTTCTGCGTTTCGTGTGGTGAATGCAGGTGGCCGGAGGCCCAATTCCCCCCCCCCCCCCCCCCCCCCATCAACATGGTAGCGGAATTACACGATGAACTACCCCAGGAGGGTACCAGTACCCCTGGAGAATCCCTCGCTGAGCATCCACGACCATGTTATTCCGATCCTGAGCGTGGGTGCTCAGGCTGCCCCGCGTATTCTGGGGGGGGCAAAATTCCGCTCAAAAGCATAACTGCTAGGGGCAAACTGAGCAAGAACACCAAGGCGACCCCTGCCACGCTATCCGTGAATTTCTGCAACATCAGGGGACTTCACTCTAACCTACACGCCGTCCACTACCATCTCGAGACGGCGAAACCGGCCTTGCTCTTTCTGACCGAGACGCAGGTTTCCTCTTCGGCTGATATTTCGTATCTCTCCTGCCCGGGGTACAAATTGGAGCATTCCTTTGTGCCTCGGGCTGGAGTTTGCGTGTATGTCAGAGAGGACATCTGTTCTCGACGCCTCGGCAGTCTTGAAGGTTCGGACCTGTCCATCCTTTGGCTACGCGTAGACAGCGACGACCATCCGCGCGTCTACGGGTGCCTCTATAGGTCCCATAGCGGTAATGCCGAAACAGACCGACTCATCGACCACGTCCAAATGGCTACAGATTCCTTGCTACAACAGGTCCCATCCGCAGAGATCGTGATCCTTGGCGATTTTAACGCCCACCATGCCGAATGGCTCGGTTCACGTCTAACCGATCATGCGGGGAGATCTGTTTATGACTTTGCCTTGGCATATGGCCTGACACAACTGGTTACTTCGCCTACGCGGATTCCAGATGTGGAGGATCATACACCTTCCCTGTTGGACCTTCTGCTGACCTCTCATCCGGACGGATATCAGGTTTCCGTCGATGCCCCTCTCGGCTCTTTGGACCATTGTCTGATCCGGAGTGTGGTGCCACTCACGCTCCCTTCGCGGTTGCGTTCTGCAGGTTGCCGCCGTGTTTGGCATTACAGGTCGGCGGATTGGGACGGAATGCGGTCTTTCTTTGCATCCTACCCATGGGGGCGGGTTTGCTTCTCGCCGGACGATCCCAGCGCTGTTGCTGACTCTGTCACTGATGTGGTGCTACAGGGAATGGAACTTGGTTTGGTCGCTCCTGTAAGACTGCATTACGCAGTAAGCAGGAGTGCTATCAAGCCTGGGCTGCGGCTTCGGCGACTCGGGATGTAAACACCAGCACACTTAAAAAGAAGTATAACTTCGCCTCCAGGTCCTTCATAAGAGTTATTGCCAAGGCAAAGTCAGAGCACATAGGTAGAATTGGCGAGAAACTAGTTCGCCTTCCTTCGGGAACCCGTGCATTCTGGTCTCTCGCCAAGGCTGTCCAAGGGAATTTCTGTAAGCCGTCACTACCATCTCTGCACAGGGAGGATGACTCACTGGCCCATGACGCAAAGGACAAAGCCGACCTTTTAGGCTCCCTTTTTGCGTCCAACTCGACTCTTCATGACGGGGGGAAAACAGCGCCGACCATCCCGCGGTGTGAGTGCTCCATGCCGGATGTGCTGTTCTCACAGCGCTCGGTTCGCAAAGCACTGCTCTCCCTGGACATCCAGAAGTCGAGTGGGCCTGACGGAATCCCCCCGATTGTGCTGAGGACGTGTGCTCCGGAGTTGGCACCGGTCCTAACGCGTCTTTTCCGGTACTCCTACTCCCAAGGCGTAGTCCCGATTTCATGGAAGACAGCTTTTGTCCACCCGATCCCTAAAAAAGGCGACCGCTCAGACCCATCCAACTATAGGCCTATCGCGATCACCTCCTTGTTCTCCAAAATAATGGAATCCATTATTAACTGCCAGCTCATCCGGTACCTTGAGGATCACCAGCTGATTAGTGACCGCCAATACGGTTTTCGTCGGGGTCGATCAGCTGGTGATCTTCTGGTCTACCTGACCCATAGATGGGCGGAGGCAGTAGAGTCCAAGGGGGAGGCGTTGGCCGTTAGTCTGGACATTGCGAAGGCCTTCGATCGGGTTTGGCACAAAGCGCTTCTTTCGAAGCTCCCTTCCTATGGGCTTCCCGAGAAATTGTGCAATTGGATCACCAGCTTCCTTGCAGATCGGAGCATCAAGGTCGTTGTAGACAGTGCATGCTCTGACTACAAGCCTATTAACGCTGGTGTTCCACAAGGCTGTGTGCTATCACCAACGCTGTTTCTTCTGCATATCAATGATATGTTGCTAACTGGTAACATTCATTGCTATGCGGATGACAGCACTGGTGATGCTCTATACACCGGCCGTGCCAATATTTCTCGGGAAAACGTCGCTGAGTACCGGAACAAACTTGTGTCTGAAGTCGAGTCTTTGCTGAGCAAAGTCTCGGATTGGGGGCGACTAAATCTAGTCCAGTTTAATCCTCAGAAGACACAAGTTTGCGCGTTTACCGCTAAAAAGAACCCCTTTGTCGTATCTCCTCAGTTTCAAGGCACTCCCCTTCTTGCCTCAGCCAGTATCGGTATCCTCGGAGTCGACATATCGAGTGACGTGCAGTTTCGTGGTCACTTGGAAGGGAAGGCCAAACTGGCCTCTAAAAAGCTTGGCGTGCTCAGCAGAGCGGGACAGTATTTCATGCCGGCACACCGCCTGCAACTTTACAAGACGCAAGTTCGGCCTCACATGAAATACTGTTCCCATCTCTGGGCAGGGGCTCCCCAGTGCCAGCTCCTTCCACTTGACCGCATCCAACGCAGAGCTGCGCGAATCGTCGACGACCGAGCCCTTTCCGATCGGCTCGATTCATTGGCACTGCGAAGAGATGTTGCATCCCTTTGCATTTTCTTTCGCATCTACCATGGGGAGTGCTCTGAGGAATTGTTCGGATTAATCCCAGCTGCCAAATTTCACGAACGCACATCGCGGCAGAACTCCCGATACCATCCACACCATCTGGATGATTGGCGGTCCACCACTGTGCGATTTAGAAGATGTTTTCTTCCTCGCACGACCTCCTTGTGGAATCGATTACCATCAGCGATTTTTCCGGACCGATACGACTTAGGGACCTTCAAGAAAAGAGCGTACTCCTTTTTAAAAGGCCGGCAACGCATCTGCGATTCCCCTGGTGTTGCAGTTGTTCATGGGCGGCGGTAGTCACTTACCATCAGGTGAGCCGCATGCTCGTTTGCCCCCTCTCCCATAAAAAAAAAAAACCTAAGTTACTCCTTAGAACATCAGCTATCTGCCGGTGAAAGTCCCATCGAAATCGGTCCAGCCGTTTCGGAGATTAGCCGGAACAAACAGACAGACAGACAAACAGACCGACAGACAGACAAAAATTTAAAAAATTGTGTTTTTGTTATAAGTACCGTATATACATTCATATGCATTTAGTAAAAAGCTGTTTTTTTAACATTAGAAACAGACACTACAATTTTATTTATTTGTATAGATTGGATCCCAAGTAGGTGCGGTGCGAGCCATCCGTCTTCTCTGGTGAAATTGGAATGTTTTTCTTTTTATAATTTCAATGGCCATGCGAAACATCCTTGGTAGGAATCCGTGTCATTTTGCGCGGATTTGTGGTCTATCAAATCAGAAGAAATAGCGGGGACCATCTTGAACATGTTCACATACTGCAGATTTTCTATAGTCTGCGTTGCTCTGTAGCATGATGCGTATGACAGCTCGCACCTATTAAATTTCATATTTTTTATGGAGTGTAGAGAGACCATCTCTATATAATAAAAGTGTCCCTAAAAACGCATCCAATAAGGGTGCGCTACCTACTCTAATCATGAAATTTTTTAAATATTTGAATTCAGCTGACTTCACTCAACAGCTATCTTCATATCGTAGTTTTTCAGACGCCAGCGCTATTGTGGTAGGTTTTGGAACCCCCATTTTCAGTAAATATACAATGTATATATAAATAAATAACAGCCTTTTACTAAATACATATGAAAGTATATACGGTATTTATAACAAAAAGACAAAACAATTTTCAAAATATATGTCTGTCTCTCTGTTTGTTCCGGTTTACAGCTGGCAATGGTAGATAGCTGATGTTATGGGGAGTAACACAGGCTAATTTTATTTTTGAAAAAGAATTATGATTCGCGCGAAAAAATTAAAACCCATGAAATCCAATTGTAATAAATACTAAGAGGGCGAGGTCCGGAACAGCTATTATGTAACTATTATGTCATAATTTGTATTAAACTTTAACTTAATTTTACATGCATTGTTGTTTATAAAGAAATATATGTTTCGGTTTTAATTTTTATATCTAGCTAGTCGATAATTTTTGTTTTGTTTTGTGAGTCGTTAATCGCCTTTTTTAAATCGATTTAACATTATTCCATCTCTAGATACGCCAAAGGTGTAAGCTGTCACCATAGATAAATAAATATGTAGCAAGCTATATGACTGTCACCCGCACCATGCTATAACGCAAAGACTATAGAACGTTGGTGTTTCACGTCAGCTATACGTTCTTTAACGCGGGTTTTTTCTATCTTCTTGTCATATGTTGATGTGTGATAATAAAATTTCTAATCCATTCTGTTCCGTTCTATTCTATTCTGTTCTACACGGTTTTAATTTGCTCTAATCTGCTCTACTGTTCACTATATATTATCCACTAGTCTACTCTATTCTGTTCTATTCTGTTTCATTGTGTTCCATTCCGTTCTATTCTGTTCCATTCAAATTCAAAGTCGGTTTTTACTTTTTATCGAGTTTAATTGTTCACCCTTTTGAATGGACTACGGAATATCATAGGCTCTGGATAACAACTAGAATTCGAAATAGTAACTAATTATCTAAATAGTAACATTATAAACTTCATCTTTAAGGAGTCGAATGTTTATTTCAAATTTACATAGGACCACCCGGGAAGTACTACCAATCTATTTAAAAAGTATTATTATCGGTTCTCGATTGACGAAGATATGATTCGATTGATGAATGATATCTTAGTCAATCAAAGAATATATAACATAGAATACTATAATACACACTAGAATGGCTGCCAACATTATTTTGTACAAAAACCGGTGTCGCTAGCAGCACACATACAAGCGCTTACGTCGTATTGTCACTACTAGAAACCCAATTCGCTCTAACGCTTCTAACGCTTTTTTATATTACATAACATCAGACTTTATTCTAAGGCAACGGATTCACAACGAATCTTTACAGATCGTCTCTTTCTGAAAAGAAAGTGAAGGAATAACTATTTTGACAGTTTTATCGTTGTAAATAGTATGCAAGCTTATTTCAAAAACAATGGTGCTAAGTATTATTTTTTGTTATTGTAGATAAAAAGTTGTTGAACACGTATAAGATGCGTAGCATTATATTAGTCTGTGTGTTTAAGCAAATTGAAAAGAAACGGCGGTCGCTCGACGTCAATCCAGCTCGAAGAACCAGTGGCGCGCCTACTCAGGAGTCACGCCCACCTCGTTGTTCCCAACCCAACGTAGTGTGGTATTAGGATCTGTGAATAGAAGGTCACTAATTTGTAGATCTCTGCTGCAGGACGTGCCATGAGGAGCCGCCGTTCCTTTTCAATAACGGTATCACACCTAGAGATTAGTCTTGTTTAGTGATTTACCGGTAACCGGTAACCACCAATATATTCTGAAATATTTTATTGATAATATTCGCTATTTTACATTTTAAGGGTCGACAGCACGTCAATTAGTAGATTGTTCCATTGCAAAATTCAATTTTATATTTTTTAATGTGAAAATCTGTCTAGCTTTCATAACTAAGTCCTGACTGATTTTGATAATTCATTTGAGGTAGTTTGATGTATGATTAATTTAATAATTAAAAATTTTGTACAACCGACTTCAATATAAATTATTAATAATAATTCAAAAACTATTGGTCAGACCTTGATCAAATGTATGTGGGACCACATGTGAAGCACCAGCTTTCAAATAAAAAAGAATCATCGAAATCGGTTTACTCAGAAAAAAATTATGAAAATTATGAATATAACACACATTAAAAAAACATACAGTCGAATTGAGTACCTCCTCCTGATTGAAGTCCTGGTGGTGTAAGACAGGGTGACGTTATATCCCCGAAACTCTTCACCGCTGCATTGAAAGACGTTTTGAAGCTTCTGTACTGGAAAGGATACGGTATTAACATCATTGACGAATACATCACTCACCTTCGCTGACGATATTGTCCTTATGGCAGAATCGCTGGAGGACCTAAGCACTATGCTCAATGACCTCAATATTGCATCCCAACGGATAGGTCTTAAGATGAACATGGACAAAACAAAGATCATGTATAACGTCCATGTCACACTTATGCCGGTAGTTGTTGGGAGCACTAAGCTCGAAGTTTTTGACGAGTATGTTTGTCCCGGACCTGGGACAAATAGTCCGACTAGGTAAGTCCAACTTCGACCGAAAGGTCAATCAACGGATTCGACTCGGCTGGGCAGGGTTCGGGAAATTATGGCACATCTTCTCGTCAGGTATACCTCAAAACTTGAAAACGAGACTGTACAACCAGTGCGTGTTGCCAGTGACGACCTATCGAACTGAGACGTGGTCTTTCACTGCTGGCTGGATGAGGAAGCTCAAGGTTGCTCAGCGAGCTATGGAGAGGGCTATGCTCGGAGTTTCTCTGCGTAATAAACATAGAAATGAGGATATCCGCGGTAGAACCAAAGTGACCGACATAGCCCAATGGATTAGTAAGCTGAAGTGGCAATAGACCGGTCATATAGCTCGAAGAACCGACAACCGATGGGGAAAAAAGGTTCTTGAGTGGCGGCCTCTTACCGGCGGACGAAGTATAGGGTTTCCCCCCCCCCCCCCCCCACTAGATGGATCGACAGCCTGGTAAGAGATTCAGGAAGTCGATGGATTCAGATGGCTCAGGACCGTGCTTTGTTGCCCTCCCTGGGGGAGGCCTATGTTCAGCAATGGACTTGTGAAGGGCTGTAATGATGATGATGATGTAGATATTTTTATTGTACGTTGTACGCTTGTACCCCAAGTTGTACCCAACTCTATGGTTGTAGCCAATCCGTGATTAGGGTTGGAGTTTTGGTTATGGTGGAAACTTGATAGGCGGTGGATTGCTGCTCCTGTATTATTGTTTAAATAGTTTGAAGTGGAATGTGATACGTAAAAGTGGTGCAATTTTGCGTAGTAAATGTCTGCACATGTGAACTATTAGTGAAACAGTGAAACAAGTGCTCCGATGGTAATGTAAATATCCAGATAATGTGTCTGTCTGCTTGGGCGCCTTGAGATACTATCGCCAACTAGGTGCTGGCTCAAGGTGCCGTCAAAATCTTCCAAAGGCTTATGCATCAACATATTGTACTATAAAGGATTATTATCACTTGATACCGAAATAAATAAAGGTATGGCTTAAAGGACAAGCATCCACGCCGAAAATAATTAATAAAAAACTGTAACTTATATTTTTTTTAAATGAAGTATTTTTTTTTTGGAGTTTATGGCCTGGTATCTATACCTTTAGGCCAAGTCTTAAGTATTTTTATTCGGTTTATTGTAATTTCCCCACTCCTTCATAGTATACTGCTTCACAATATGTTGATGCGTCATATTGTGCAGTTCTTGGGAGATTTTGGCGGCAACTTGATCCAGCAGACAGCTGATAGTTGGCGATGGTATCTAAAGGTGCCTATGCAAACAAACAGCTTATCTTGAGAATCCATCACCATCAGAGCACTTGTTTCACTGTTTCCACTAATAGTTCACATGCGTAGACACTTAATACACAAAATCGCAACACTTTTACATATCAAAGTCCACTTCAAACCATTATTTAAACAATAATACAGGAGCAGCAAACCGCCGCCGGTCAATTTCCCGCCAAAACCACTTTAAATGAAGTAAAGCAACGCGTAGTGTTTCTATTATAGTCTTGGGCATAGTCGATCGCCATTGGGAACGCTCAATTTAGTTTGTAGTCCTATAGCGAACTAGTTCGCTCATTTAGTTCGTTAGTTCTTTTTTAATTTTTCAGTAGATCTTATTAATAAAAGATGAGTTTATTGAATGTCAGTAAATAAAAATTAATTGAATTTACGTTAAAAAATGTAATATACTACATAATGTATAATATATGCATAATACTTATCAAGAACTATTTGATGATATGGACATTAAAATAAAATATAATAAACGAAGCTAAACATGTTTTTATATTTTTGAAGTGTATTGGATTATTGAAAATAACGCAACTGTAATTTAAAGATTACATGTCGCTAATTAATGTAACATAGTAACACAGTGTAACCTTGATATAACAAACCTATATATAACGAATTCCTCGGTTTAACGAATTTTTCGAAATCCCATAGAACTGCCTGTAAGAGCTAATGCAAAACATTACGAATAGATTTTATCAGAAACATCTTTATATTGAATTTTATTTATTGCGGAATATATATAGAAGGTATTATTTACCTCTTTTTAACCAATTTTCTCAACTTGAAATCTTAACCTAACATATCCTATTAATTATTCCTACTTAATTCCACATTAAATCATGTCTTGACACGTACACGACAGGTAGATGACTATTTACGTAATGTTGAGATTAATAAACAAGTTTTCTTACCTTGTTAAAACGCATTGTAGTTCCACCTAACCTCTATATAACAAACCTCATTATAACGAATTACTTGGTATAATAACGAATACTTTCTAATTCCATTCAGTTTCGTTATATTGAGGTTGTACTGTATTCGAGTATTTAATAAAATTAGTAGAAAAAGAAATGTAAAATATTAATTTTGAATAAACTTACCGTAAAATCGAATTGAGAACTATACGGTATTTATGTACTGCTTACTATCACTTTCATATTAATATTGTGAGTCAGCAATATGTGTTACTTGTTGTGAATTGTGCACTAATAAAACTTTAACTATAGACTATAAATTATATACTTTAATAAGAAACTCTGGTAAGAACGGTAAGAATAAAAATAAATCAGTCGGTTAGCCATGCAGCGCCACTCCATAATAGAGTGGACGCAAGAACAATAAATAATTAAAGAACTAAGAGCGTGATTGTCGACGAACTAGTTCGCATAGTTCACCTAAAAGAGCGCTCTTCTCAATCCCATCTAGGTCGTTCGCGAACTACCCAAGACTAGTTTCTATATAGTTTTAGTTTGTGAGACTCTGAGTAAAGCACAAAACAATAAAGATAAAGCACTGCACTGAAAATAAATAATAAGAAAAGTATGTAAATAAATAATGTAAATTGATAATATGATAATATCCACCTTATGTCATAGCTACTAACTACAGCTGATTTGTATTTTTTAGTAAAGAAACTGCATATTTATTCCAATTTGAATTATAATTTTAGTACAAATAAAACAGCCTTAGATTATTTTAACGAACGTAATTTTGTTCTTTGTAACAATCCTGTTAATAATCGAGAATTACTATTTCTAGGAAGTAGGAACTATATTGTTATCTGATTTCAGTTCGAATTATTTTCACATTGGCTTAGTCTGCTCTTTCTGTTTTGAATTCTTGTTTCATTTATATATTGTATTATTTGATGTTACTTTAATATCAATACCGTGTAGGGATGGTCTAAGATTATCCACTACCACGTATTATGGTGCCATGGGTGTCGTAAGAGGCGACAGAGGGAAACTGGAACAAGAGATGGGTAGCAGCATCTTTCTGATAACACAAAACATTTATACTGCGGTTGCCAACCTACCTGCCAAGCGTGACAGCTATGGCAATATCCCCCTATGAGACAATCTATGGGGGAAGACTAGGTTTAACAGTGTACTTTTATGGGCTGTAATAAATGAGTTTGAATTATATTGATAATAATATTAGTGTTTTAATGAAGGTAGAAAAAAAAGTGCTATAAGGAACAACCAGCTGCACAGAGTACAACCAGCTGCACAGAGTACAACCAGCTGCACAGAGTACAACCAGCTGCACAGAGTACAACCAGCTGCACAGAGTACAACCAGCTGCACAGAGTACAACCAGCTGCACAGATTACAACCAGCTGCACAGATTACAACCAGCTGCACAGATTACAACCAGCTGCACAGAGTACAACCAGCTGCACAAAGTACAACCAGCTCGAAGGAATTTCTACAAGTCAATCAATGTTGTGATTCTGACCTTTGTGTCAAATATTAAAATTAATATAATATGGAGACATTGCCCCATGTCATATTGTGAAAGGCAGTATTGCTATTTGTTTGCATGCCTCACCTATTTTAATGTTATCTTGTATTTCTATACATTTATGTAGTAGAGCCATGCTGCAGCTATATTATGGTATGATCGGCTCAACCAGGGTAGGCCCACACTCGCAGAATACCAGCATAAAATAGCAGCTTAATGGTGCTATGTTTCGTATGGTGAGCTTAGAGAACTGAAAACCTTTTTCACTGAAAACAAGGCATTCCATCTCAGTACTCAGGGATGACAATGCATCTGCATATTGATTCTTAATTGAGGAACGATGTTAATGTCTATGGGCCACAGTAACAACTTATCATCAAGTGGACTGTGTACTAGTTCGTTACCCTTATTCTATAAAAAAAAAATTCTAACTGCTTACTGTGTTACATATGTTCCAAAAGATTTTCATCATAGTTTTAATTGAGTAATATTCCTTTTATTTAAATAATTTTGAGAGTAATTCCTAACAATAGATATTGTGGGCTTAATATTATTGATATTAGACTTATAGTTGGTAGAACCAAGCTGCAGCCATATTATGTTTATAGCAGAGATGAGTCAGCTCAACTGAGGAAGGACAACATTCTTCAATAACAGAATACCAACAAAATAGAGAGATAATGTTGCTGTGTTTCAGTTGGGAAGTGTAGAAAACTAGAGACCCCTCTTTCTGGAAATGAGACATTGCATCTTAGTCTTCAGAGGTGACCAATGCATCTGTATTTTTATTTTACTAATGGATATAGATGTCTATGGGCCACAGCATCCACTTAGCATTATGTGCATTGAGTGGTGGTTAGTCAATCTTTTTTTATTTAAAACAATACCAGTTTTTTGATATATCCTTGCAAGCCTAGATCTAATCTCCCAAATGAAGCCTAGCCGTGTTGGTTCTGCAGATTGACCTCTTGGAAGTTAAAGCTACCAATTCGGACAATTTCACTCTTTTACTCTTCAACTACTTCCAGCTTAGTGTTCCAAAACTACCAACATTATGTATGACCTTACCTAATAATTAGCTTAAATTAGATATTTTATATTTACATATAATAGATAACCTTAATTCATCTCTGTTAAAGGAAAACCACGAAGTTCTAAGCCCCATCACAACACTGTCGGAGCAAACCGTTGGACCGAATGAAGTGGGGCAGATATCTGAACCTATAGTGGAAACGACGCCAGAAACTACAACGGTTGCTACGACAACGACAACTGTGACTACAACGACGACCACTACGACTACAACCACCACCACTCCAAGACCCACTACGACTCTTGAACCAACAAAGTATTGCATTGTGAAGAAACCTGAGAGTGATGATGAAGCTCAGTATATCAAGATGGGGGAGACTAGGAGAGTATGTTTACTACAAATTATCTTTCTAAGTGAATACAATTCGAAAGGTGTAATTTTTCTTGTAATTTAATTTTTCCAGAACTTCCACACATTGATTTACTTATTCATTATGGAGGCTTTATACCTATATTAATTGCTCACGGACAAACATCCAGACCTGGAACAATTATTTGTAGACCATACAAACATAAAAAGAATTAAGATATATTTGCATACTCTTCTGGAGAATGCTAGGATCATGCTCGGCCGACAGATTAGCAACCACAGTAACAGACTTGACACTGCTTTTCTTCATTAGTTTCTTTCATCAAACCAAGCCTGAAATAAATATTACACAGTTTACGACTGCCCATTATTGAAATAGGAAAACCAACGTCCAACTGAGAAAGAAAGTCCTGAGAATGTAAAGTGGCTTAGTCATCAAAGATGGTTCTTAACTAAGCAGGTCAGCATTCTCTAGTATATCTGGTATATACGAGATTATGCCATCATCTATTATGTCCATGAGGTATTGCAGGCATTTCACTAAGTCGGCTATAACGACACCCTCAGGGTGAGAATGGAGTAATTGATTTGCTTACTCTGCCGCCATATGGCGCCTTTACTAACGTTCTACTGCATAATATATAAACATAATGCACACGCCGGGTTACTATATTTAAAAACGCTTAGTTTTCTTTTATGAGCCATTTTGCAATAAATAAAGTGCATGAAAACCCCTTTCTAACAAAATACCAGTTCAACTGTTTAGGAACAATTTTTTTCTATTTAAGTCCATCATAAGCCGCTGAATGAAATAGTTTGTAATTTTTGTTTTATAGGATAGGGTGACAAACGAGCACACAGTTCACCTGATGGTAAGTGGTTGCTGCGGCCCATAGACATCTACATGTATCCTCAACAAAGACTAAGATGGAATGCCTCTTTTTCAGTAAAATTGGTCTCCGGTCCTCTACACTCACTGTATTCTGTGAGAGCGTGGTCCTTCCCCGGTCAAGCCAACCCATTCGTGCTACAACTATACTACTAATATAGCTGCAGCATGGCTCATAAACACCTTGCACCTTGTATGTAATAAAACAGATCTTTACAGAGAACAAAATGTTTCTTGAATATCGGAATTAAATACTAATCTCTAAACTAACATAATGATAACGCCTGACGATGGAAGCAAATTTTATGTCCAGCTGTTCACGGACTAGTGAAGATCAGTTTCATTAAGAACATTGAAAATCTAATTATTTCATATTTCATTTCAGCTATACCGATCAGCGGAGCTCGCGGAATGCACAGACCTGTGTGTGTGCGAAACATCCCTTCAAGTATCGTGCAAAGTCGCGTGTGTACCTCGCGCCCCGTGCTCTTCGCGTTTGGCGCATTACTCCCATGCTGCACCAGCATACCAAGCTTACAGAGGGAGATGCTATTGTTATTCGGGGTCTTTTATCTGCATGAGGCCTAATCCGGGTGAGTTTAATGCTTTATGCTAAAGAAATCTTCTCAACAGTATACTAGAATGGGTGTTAAGCTTCTCTTTATAACTGACCAAGTTGTGTAGAAGAACTGATGCACTATAAGTTAAAGAAGTTATACAAACTATTTAGTCACAGGAGCTTGTAAGCCAAAGTAATGGATGAAAAATTTTTGTCTTTTCACAGAGGTCTGTCTTTTGCACATAATATCTTTAGTATAATATGTATATATATATATATACTTAATCATTGCCACGCACACACTCACATATATATATATATATATATATATATATATATATGTGATGATTTAGCAATACGATCACCATTGCACTGCAAATGCCCGGGGTCGGACTTTTTACTGCCAAATCCTTAATGGATAATTTAATTTACCAGAAGTTTTTCATTCCATGAGCCTATGTAATTTCACCTACCATCTTGTAAGGGCACATTTTACAACAACAATTTACCTTTGCAGATCTGGGAATAGTTTTATAGACTTACCGACACCAAGGTTGTTGCTCATAGCGGGGATGGAATGGATGGAAAGGTTCTCGATTAGCAGCCTCATAACAGTAAGCAAAGTGTAGGGAGGCCCTTACTAGATGGAGTGACGACCTAGTAAAAGATGCAGGAAGTCGATGGATGCAGATGGTTCAGGAGTCACGACTATGCTTTGTAACATTTGTTGGGAGACGCCATGTTCAACAATGGACTTGTGATGTGGCTGTAATGATGATGATAGATACCAATAAAGGATGAGTTAAGGGTTGGAAGAAAGAGAAAGTATATGATGAAAGAAAAATCTAAATAAATTATAGATTTTTATTACATTCTTAAAATTTTTGTATTTGTAATACATTATAGACAATTTTTTATGACTTATATGTGAGTAGCAAGTTAACTAACAATGTATATGAATTGCACTGTTTGTAACAAGTGTACATTAACACTTTTACTGACAATAAGGTATACATCTTAATTCTCAGGGGCTTACAACGCAATTTTTTTTAATCTTAATCATGGTTACCTATGCATCGCAGCATCCATTTACCATCAGATAATCTGTTTTTTCATGTTACCCGTACTTCTAAAGACATACCAACATGCTGTTTTCAATTATTTTTTTTAAAAACTAAAGTGATAGATGAACTTACAGTGCACCTTATTGTAAATGTCTGCTGCAGTCCATTGACACCTGCAGCCAATTTAAAACAAAGAAGGCTTCAAATGTGTTGTCACCTCCGTGGACTAAGATGGTACACTGCTCAGCCTGTTATTATACTGGCTCTGTATACCCTTCCGACCAAATCAAAGCAGTGCTAGCACTGCTATTTGGCGGCAGAACTAGGTATGAGGGTCGTACCTACCCAGTCGAACTCGTGGGGAGAAAAGAAGTTCTACCATCTCAGTCCTCAGGGATGACAACGAGTCTGCATTTTGGTTCTTAATTAGGGAATTAGGGAAATTGATGTTGTGGCCCATAGACATCTACATTTATCTTCTTCAAAAAAAAAACATGGTAAAGCGAGGATGTGACCGGCAGGCGAGTACAAGCTGCCCGAGGGTGTGTACCTGCTGCTGGGATTCAGTGCGGTGGACGAGGCGCTGCTGCGGCCGCACACGGGGCTGGGCGCCGAGGATGCCGTGCGCCTGCTGCAGCACTACCTGCGGCACCTGCGTCCTGAAGACGTGAGTGCTCTCCCCCTCCCCCTCTATACGTATAATGTCCTCCAGACCGTATTTCAGTCACGCACAACTTCTGTATACTAAACGTGCTCTGCGGAGAGAGTGTACTTGCGCTTGCGTAAAGTTTGAACTAGCTTACTGATAACTACTCATTGAAGTGAATACTTGTTTAGAATCGTTGTGATTTGAAACTCGATGAAAGGAAAAAACGACGCTATAAAGAGAAACATATACATACATACAAACAAAAGAAAATAGCCTGCGAGGGAATGAGATAGAATTTTATATTAAATTAGTTGTGTTTAGGCCATCTAGCGTCTATTTTACATACCATCTTGAGAGTCAATCAATGTTTGTTCGATAAAATTAGCTATAGAACGAAGTAGATGGCGCTATTACAAATAAATTTAACTCAAAAAAAATATTATTTTGTTAAGGTACTCTAACATTTAGACTCTACATGTCTAAAAATGAGCATTGTAACATTTACTTTTATTTTATAGGATCGGGTGACAAACGAGCACACAGTCCACCTGATGGTAAGTGGTTACTGTGACCCATAGACATCTACATCTATCGTCAATAAAGACTCAAGATGCAGATGCGTTGTCACCCGTGAGGACTAAGATGGAATGCCTCTTTGCCAGTAAAAAGGGTCTCCGGTTCTATACAATCACCATACGAAACACAGCAGCGTTAAGCTGCTATTTTACGCTGGTTTTCTATGAGAGCGTCCTTTCCCGGTCGAGCCGACCCATTCGTGCTACAACCATAATATAGCTGCAGCATGGCTCTACCGTGTAGAAACTGTTACTTGCTATAAAATTAAACTTTTATCTTATACTAGCTGTTCCCCGCGACTTCGCCCGCGTAAATTATTTACGATTGGATTTCATAGGTTTTAATCATGAACCAAATCATGGTTTTAATTTATATGCGCAGAACCCTAATACTTTTTCTAAAATAAAAGTAGCCTCTAATATTGACAGTCCCGTTAAAATGGGTCCTGCCGTTTCGAAGATTAGCCGGAACAAACAGACAGACAGACAAAATTTATCATAATTGTTTTTTTGTTATTATATAGTACCGTTTATACTTTCACATAATATGCATTTGGTTAAAAGCTTTTATTTTGACATTACAAACAGACACTTCAATTTTATTTATTTGTATAGATTTTATGCGGCACATGTGCTTGAAAATTATCATATTAAATAAATCATATTTGGCGGGAAATATTTTTATTTTATACTATTTAATTTTATTTGAAAGTTTTACTTCTACCGCGTGTAAACTGCACACATTTTTTTTCTTTCTTGACACTTCTGGGCCTCTCTCCTTCCTTCTCCTCTGGGATTTGCTTTACTCGCTACGCCTATTAGGCTGATTAACGATAGCAGTATCAGTAATTTTATTCCAAGTGATGATTGTGAGATTCAGTACTATGAATTCAAACTGGAATCGTAAAAATCGCGCTAAAAGTTTTAACAGTGCGGCCTTAGCCTAAACAGAAAACTTAATCACGTTTTCGTTAGATTCAATTCAACTTGGCAGTTATTTTTAGGCATAAAATAACTTAGCTGAAATTTTTGTAGTATAAAATAACTGCTAAGTAAAATTTTTAAACTAAAAATCATCCGAATTGCAAATAGTCACCAAATAGCAATTTGACATTGTATCCGAAACAATTTATTTTCATATTATCTATTGCATTAATTGTGTTTTTTTTTTTTTCAGACAAACTGCACGCTGACTTTGTTCAACATTAGCAACGAAAACGTCATTATCTCTGCCAGTATTCCACCACGACAACAAGAGATTCTCAAGGAATCTGGTGAAGAGCTGCTGGATAAGGAGAAAGTAATGTCTTTAATTTGGAATATGTTAACTTGTTTGACAATTTCAGTTTTCTTTTTTTAGAATATGGGTAACAAACGAGCACACAGTGCACCTGATGGTAAGTGGTTACTGTGGCCCATAGACATCTACATCTATCTTCGTTTGCGAATAAAAATGCAGATGCGTTGACAGCCGTGAGAAAATATTGGGTCAGTGAATCGAAATCAAATATTGTTAGAACTATGAAAAACTTTATTACTTATAAACACAGGTTAGTAATTGATTTACGTATGAACATTTTTTTTTACAATGGCGGACACAACAATAGAATGCCTCTTTTCCAGTAAAATGGGTCCGGTTCTCTACACTCACCATACGAAACACAGCCGCATTAAGCTGTTATTTGACTGTCAGTATGATTTTATTTTAATGATTTCTTATATTTACGAAAAAACTACACATGCAATTAAATTAACTACAGATTTTATCGCCTTTAATTTTAACTTTTTAATTCAGAACGTTTCGGGCACTTTCCAGTACCCATAGCCACGGGGGGACTGAGATGTTTGACGTCCTGATGTTATAGTTAACGAAGGCAACCTTCAGGTTTTAATTATTAATTTTTGGTCTGATCTACTCAGAACGAACTTACAGTATCTTAAAATCTTGCAGTAGTATGCTATATTTACGTAGTATGATAATTTTATAAATATTTTAAACTAGCTGTTCCCCGCGACTTCGCCCGCGTATTATTTGGGGTTTTAATCTTTTTGCGCGGAACCCTAATTCTTTTTCTTAAATAAAAGTATCCTAAGTTACTCCTTGTGACATCAGCTATGTGCCAGTGAAAATCCCGTCAAAATCAGTCCAGCCGTTTCGGAGATTAGCCGGAATAAACAGACAGACAGATAAAATCTTTAAAAATTGTATTTTTGTTATTAGTACTGTATATACATTTACTAAAAAGATGTAACTTTGACATTACAAACAGACACTTCAATTTTTTTTTATAGATAATGGAAACCTTTACTTAGTTTCAACAAAGTCTTTACATTATTTTATTTTCACATTACAGGAAGCGTGCATTGACGTGTTGAAAATCGTTAAGTCCCGCATCAACTCTCAACACGAAGACATCTCCTCTCACCTTCTGCTTTCTATCTTCAAGATCGCCGAAGTTGACGTGGTATATCCAACACCGCCTAGTTCCGCTGATATCGCTCACCGACCTAATAGAAATATCTATATTTTCATAGTCCTTGTCGTTCTTATTCATAATATCAAACAATGCATCTCATTCTTTCTTACTATCACTTTCCTCAATGATATAGTCAATTATTTTACAACTTTACTTAATAAGTCATTCACTGATGATTCAAATCATTCAGCAATCGTCGTTCCTTTTCCCAAAAAGAGTTATATTTTCGAATTCGAAAATGAAATCGACTTCGTATCTGTTTTGGGACACCTCGAAGAATTTATCGACACTAAACCAGTAGTTAATGTAAATTATGATAAAATGCACAATGCACTCGCTTTAGATGACGCACGTATAAGTGAAATCACTAAGAAAAATATAGTTGATGTAAAAAATATATTTGTAAATAATTATAATGAAACGAAACATATCATGAAAGCTGTGAGTATTACAATATGTAGTAATTTTAATATACTTGTTGCCGATGCAATTATACTGAAATATTTTTCTAGAAATGTGTATTATGAAATTGAATGTACTATTAATGATTCTAAGATGCTTTTTGGGGAATTTCATATTGGAAACATCACGTCCTCGTCTTATGGAGTTGTAAAATTCGATAGTTTAGGACTGACTCTATTAGTAGTATGAAGACTGAGCTGATTAACTAAACATATCATAGTTAAGTGTTCTTCGTTTTATTTTCTACTTAGAACTGGTGCTTGTAGGTCGATCTCAAAGGCTGGGTTTTTTGTAAATAAGTACTATGCCTTTTACACTGTTAGGAATCTATTCATTTCCAGTAGTATAGAGACTTGTGCTACAGACATCACTGGAAATGTCTCGCCTTTTCTTCACTTGTTTTTTATTAATTTTTTTTGAAAATTTTTGTGTCCTGATTTTTTCTAATATTTTTAACCGTAACCACACTTACATCTATTTATCTATGGTGCTTAACTTTCTTATTTTTAATAGAGATGATTTAATTTATAACTTTTAGTAAACTTGTGTCTCTAGGTAAGAATCTCTAATAAATAGTTCGCTGATAGGGTAGAAGCTATTTTAGAATGCGCCTTTCTGTTAGTTGGTAATTGTATGTACTACCAGATATATGTGATTGCACGATTAGATTTTGAAGTCGGAAAATGACACAGCAACTTTAAGAAAAAAATGTTGACAAGACTGCATTTTTTTTTGCATTGAAATACGAAAAGAAAACGATAAGGAAAACTATATATTACGTTCATTATTTCGAGTAATTTATTTAAAATTTAAGGAAAAATCGTTGCATCGGAAACATTTACATAATATTTTAAGTACATTTTTCCATCGCAACAATAAAATTAATCTTTGGTTCTACATTTTATTTATGTATGAATTGAATATATTAAATTACTTTCGTAAACTTTCTATCAACATTTATGGAGATATTTTTATTTTCATATCCGTTAGGAGTGCATTATAAAAAAATGTATGAATGAAAATATAAAATGAAATGAACACTTAAAAAATAAATATAAATAGTAAGTAAATAATATTTGTAGATTCAATTCAATTGTTATGCATTTAAACATTCCCATTTTTTCCTTTAAAAAATTTTTATACTTACGTGGTTCAGTATCCTTGATGGGTGTGTAATTTTTGTGCATTTTTGAAGGGTACGGATTTCGCCGCCGCATTTTATTGCACAAATATTAATAAACATATTAATAGGGAGGGTCGGTCTTTGCTTAGCAAGTATATTTGTACTTGTATGTGCAGTATATAGGCTGCTTATTTTCCCTGTAAACATAAGACTTTGACTTTTGTTTAGCGTGGTATGTTCATAACGTTGACGCGACTGATCGTGACGTTCGCTGATGTGCCACATTCTGCTAGCTGTCTAGCTGCTCTGCAGACATGAGGCTGGTATACTCTGTACATCACAAATACTACACGCAAAGTATCATCACATAACATCTGCAACTGATAGCATAAATAACTTAAAATTTTTAAAAGCCAACTTAATAAAAAGAACTGATGATGTTCAAACGGCTGAACAGGTTTTCTTGAAACAGCTTACTCGAACAGGACACTCGATTGGGACAGAAAAAAAGTTAATCAAAATCAGTTCCTCCGTTCAGGAGCTATGGTGTCACAGACAGACATACAGATACACACTACAAACTTATAACACCCCTCTGTTTTAGTCGTTTCTAAAATCGATTTTAAAAAAAAAACATTTTCTACCGACTTCAAAATGAAAAGGTACTCAATTCGACTGTATGTTCTTTTTTATCTGTGTTACCTCATAACTCATCTAGGTGATTCTTTTTTTTATTTGAAAACTGGTGCTTCTCATGTGGTCCCGTATAAATTTGATCAAGGTCTGACCAATAGTTTTTGAGTTATCCTTAATAATTTATATTGCGGCCGGTTGGTCAAAATTCTTTATTTTAAATTATTTAAATCCAACATTTCGTAATTTCCTTGTCAAAGTTGTTGTGTTGTTTTCTTGTTAGTAGTTCACTTAGATACGGAACACTTAGAACTAAATGTTAACTGGAAAATGAAGCGTAAAATGATAATGTAATGAATTATGCATTGAAATGGTAAAGAAAGAAGCTTTAATTTGAAGTAGAAAAAATATTCTTGTGTTCAGGAGTTTTAACGAATGTAGCGCTCTGTTTAGAATATGTAATTACATGTGGAACTGTTTAGATTCGATGTTAATGCAATTAATTAGATTTAATGATATTTTTGATATTTTCTTCATTTCATTATTTCATACTACACCTTTTGAACAAACTAAATGGCGTATTTATTCTTGTTATAAGTATCTACATATAATTTAAATTGTAATTGTAAGATCAAATATACATATCAAATTAACTGTTTAGTGTTTACATTGTAAAATTAGGTAATTATTTTAGTAAATTGTTGTTACATTTACGGTAAATAACCATTTCATTTTCCTATGCCGTTGTGCGGGGTACATTTATATATTATATTTGTAATCGCTTAATTGGATATTAAATTACTAAAATGATTAGTCTTCTTAATTATTGACAAAGACGGAATAATAATGTAGAGGTCCGCGCCTGATTTAATTTCAAATTCAGATCTTAAGATATTGTGTTAATCTTTTAAATTACATTTTCGTATCCAATGATACGCACATTGTTCTTAAATGCAACAACAACAACAAGTTATTTTGTATTTAAATTTAGATATTATATTATTTATACATGACTTGTTGTATTATAGTTGATACCAGTTGACACACATTTTTGGTACTTGCTATTTTATACGATACTATTTTAATAACCATAAGGTTTTTTTTTATATATAATTTCTAATTATCGTTGTTATAAGCACGAAAATGTTGTACTCTGTAACATTGGTGTTCTATTACTTTTAAAGAATATTTTACATATGTATATTAACAACAAAAATGTTGCGATTTAGTTAAATTAAATTTTTGTAACAAAATAATACTTATTATGTATTATCATTTCTAAAATTTTGTAACACACCTATTATGACTATATCTAATATGATTTAATTAATTACAGTATCAAATATATTTACAAAAATCAATTTTTACTATTGTCCTAAATTAAATTTAAATTTGTGCAACATCTACCTACCAAAGGCAGTAAAAACATATCAAAAGTAATTTATGAATTTATTTACCTATACTAAAGAGGACGCTACGCTACTAGTCTCGTGTTAAAAAAAATTTAAAATGTTACGAAGTTCTTATTACCTATTTATTTCATTTATTTGTTACGTTTTACAAAAAATATTTTAAAATAATATGATGATTAATGAAAGTAATATTTTGTGCATATGCTGATTGTTAATAGTGTTAGCTAGTGCCTATATATAAAATATTTACGTACATTTGCTTTTCTTAAAACACGTACTGCTTACGTTTCTCTCATACGCATATTAGGTAAACTAAAATATAAAGGATTTATACCTTTATCATAATATTTTGGTTTAACCTACTTCAAAGATTAAAAGTTTTTTTTTTAATTTGTTAATCATATATCTAACATAATTATTATTAAAATTGACTCTAACGAAACATATCAATGAAGCTCAATTTTATACCTATTGTATTTCTAGCGTTAGATGTTGCAAAGCAAGAATGACGTAAATTCTTACGTAGCTTAGAATATAGAGAATTATATAGATATAATAATAAATATAATATAAAATTGTAAAGGCGAAATATTCAAAGTAAACTTTATTGAATTTAATTTTTAGTGAAACTTGTAGTATTCTTAATTGTTTTAATAATTTATTTGTTCAATATGTATAGTTTTTTCTGTTCTCGAGATGTATACAATAATAAAGGTAAGCATTTGATAAGATAAAAGAGCTAAGTATGGGGAAAATATTAATTACTTATTGTTACCGCTTACGACTGCAAATTCATTTTAGAACTACACATACTGGCAGAAAAGAAACTGCACGCCAAAGAGATAACGTATAAAAGAGAAAACAAAAAAGGACAGACTGAAGCTATCGGTTATGTGTACACAATTGAGTTCCAAGTTTTATTGAATAATTAATAATTGAAACACTTATAACATTATATGCTTTAAATACGTCATATCACAATATGAAACAGGAAAACTTTAATATTTAACGGCCTTGCTTATAATCGTTAATTATCGCTTATTTAAAATAATCTGTCTCGTTTCTAACTTTAAGTATTTCTTAAATAGACGTCGATTCTATGAGTAAGGCCGTTTATTTTAAAAAAGACAACAAAACAGTATTTAAGACAAAAGAACCCGAGTGCTATGATCTATTCAATGACAAAATTAACAGAATTAGTATGTATAAAAAACAACTAAAACAACATGCGTTGTCTTAGGAAAATGCAAAATTGCTAAGTACAAATCATAGTCATAAAATTATTATAAATAGTCATCAGTTCTTAATTAGTCTACAGAATTTAAAATTATTCAGTCGTCCGGAAATGGGTGAAAACTCAATTAAAAATTAGGTTACATTACAGTCTTGTTTGTCAGTCGTCGTATTGGTATTTATTAACATAAAATTAGAGGCGTATATATCTCATCGCACATTAAAAACGACAAGTTTTATCCTTTTACAAGTTTGCCATAGGTAACAGAAGAACAGACACACATACACATCATTACAGTCTATCAAAAGTCCATTGCTGAACAAAGATCAAAAGGAATTAATCCTAAATTTAGTGTTTACTGTTTACGTCTTTTTTAAGCAAAAATTTTGAGTCTTAAACATTATGTGCACACGTCTCATGCCTTCCATGTAAATATTACAATGTAATAATATATTATATTTAGCAACAATTTTTTTTTTAATTATTAGTTTGCAACCATCAATATCTGCACCATTTTGAAGCATTCTTATCATATTTATATGTTTAACTGCAAATATTTTCTGAAAAATGATTAAAACAATATTGTAAGGTCTTATAATATAATGTAATTGGTTCTAATCATAAGCGAAAATCGTTTATTATTTCAATACAAGTTTCGATGAAATGCATATTTTAAATTATTCTTTGAATATTAAAAAAAAAATTATAATAAGAGTGGAATGCCACTACATATTTTATGTATTATTTGTTGTTATAAATGATTTTTCCTAAGATTACTATTTATATA